TTTTGTAAATTTTTTATAATGGAGAAATTGAATGAATAGATTGAAAAAGCTATGTAACATTTGCAAATATTTTTTTCTTTCCATTTTTTCTTTTGTTGCTCCAACATATTTTCTTCTTCTCCAATTCACTTTTCCCTTTTTCCATGGTTTTCTTCTCTTTTTCTAACTTCTTGTTTTGTTTTTTCAAGTTCTTATTCTCTTTTTCCAAAGCATCATTCTCTTCAAAAATGTTCTCAATCACAGAGTTTTTGAAGTGGCATGTGTTGATAGCATTATTCAACATCTGTAGCCGAAGTTTCACCCTCTTTTTCCAATACTTTGCAGGACCTATTTGGCTTTGCGAGAGCTCTTCTTACGTTAATTCATCATTTGAATTTTCACATTTTCATTTTTCTTCACCGGTAAATAGAACAATAAGTCATTCATAGAATGTTTGTTGCTTCATTGTCTTGATTGCTGACTCCTTGAGGTGAACTGGTAGTTGAGGGACTGATTCTGCATTTGCTTTTTGTCCCTGAGGGTGAACTGGGCTTTGAGGAACTAATTTTGCAGTTGTTTTTGCTTGTTCCTGATGTTAAACTGGCATCTAAGGATCTGATTCTTGAATTGAGGTACTTAGAGCCACTTGTTGCATTGCCTCTTCTTGCACTTGAGGAATTGATTCTTCAATTGAGGTACTTGGAACCTCTTTTTTGTACTACCTCTTCTTGAACCTAAGGGACTGATTCTTCAATTGAGGTACTTGAAGCCTCATTTTGTACTGCCTCTTCTATATGGAAATTAACCACATCATTGATCACCCTATCAATTTCAGTTGCGTCCATGTTTGTGATGTTCGCATTTCTTTCTTCACTTTCAATATTTAGATATGTAGAATGATGTGCAACATCTTGGTCATCTTGGACTTGCTCATTCAGAACTTGAGTGCTAAAGATACTATGACTATCACCTAGTGTGTCAAAGTGTCTTCATTTGCATTTTGGCTCTCACCCTCTTCCTCCTGAAAGTATGCAAAATTAAGAATATGAATCAAATTGCATAATCAGTTTGTAGAATTACTTATTATATTATCATATTGCATCATTACATATACCATAATTAATATGCATTATTACTTATACCAACATTAGTATGCATTATTATTTATACAAAAAATTAGTATGCATCATTACTTATACGGATAATTAGTATGCAGCATTAATTGTACCATGTCTAGTATGCAACATCAGTTATGGAATATAATCACAAATCTTTGGTTTATAGCAGAATAAGCATGCAACATCAGTTATAGAAGAATCCAGAATATGAATCAAATTTTATTTATTCATCATTTACTTATACAAGAATTAGTATGCATCATTACTTATATAATTTTTAGTATGCATCATTACTTATATAAGATTTTGGGTAAATCTCAGTTTACTACTCTCAAGTTTCGTGGTTTTTAACATTTAGTACATGAAGTTTTTTTTGTCCCAGAGTCATACATAAAGTGTTAATTTTGGGACAATCTCATACATCCGTTAGTCTGACTGTTAAGTCTCATGTTAACTGATGACGTGGTGCCCATGTGGACAATGACTGGGCGCCATATGTCATTAAGGGTTCCATGTGGAAATTCAAAATTCAAAAAAAAAAAATTGCCCAAATTTAAAATATCAAAATAATTAATGAAATAAAAGTATTAAAATAAATAAAATAAAAAAAACCCAGAACCCCCTTCATCTTCCCCACCCGACACCTCTCCATCCTATTTGGTAAAAATGATTTCATTTCGTACCACAATAATTTTACACCTTTAGTATATATATACAAGTATCTTGGACCCACTAAGGGAAGCAAATACAACAAACTAACTAACTAACTAACAGATTTCTTAACCACTAAGTAATATCTCTAGATGGTATAGTTACAATATTGCCCTTTATATCCCCCCTCAAACGAAATTGAGGAATTTGAAGTTGAAGTTGGTCATGAAGAAATAGAAATCTGGACTTGGACAGAGACTTTGTGCAAATATCAGCCACCTGATCTTGAGTACAAACAAAATGCACAGAAATCTGCTTGGCTAAGACTTTCTCCTGAATGTAATGATAGTCTATTTCAACATGATATGTCCAAGCATGAAAAATAGGGTTCTTGACAAGAGAAATGGCAGAAATGTTGTCACACCAGAGTTGGGGAGAACAAGGCAACCCTACATCCTATTTAGTAAAAATGATTTCATTTCATACCACAATAATTTTACACCTTTAGTATATATATACAAGTATCTTGGACCCACTAAGGGAAGCAAATACAACAAACTAACTAACTAACTAACAGATTTCTTAACCACTAAGTAATATCTTTAGATGGTATAGTTACAATATTGCCCTTTATATCCCCCCTCAAACGAAACTAAGGAATTCGAAGTTGAAGTTAGTCACGAAGAAATAGAAATCTGGACTTAGACAAAGACTTTGTGCAAATATCAGCCACCTGATCTTGAGTACAAACAAAATGCACAAAAATCTGCTTGGCTAAGACTTTCTCCTAAATGTAATGATAGTCTATTTCTACATGATATGTCCAAGCATGAAAAATAAGGTTCTTGACAAGAGAAATGGCAGAAATGTTGTCACACCAGAGTTGGGGAGAACAAGGCAAGCAATAACCAATATCAACCAATAGTTGGCATATCCAAGTAATCTCAGATGCAGTGTTGGCAAGAGATCTATACTCTGCCTCTGTGGATGATCATGCAACAGTTGGTTGCTTATTAGCACTCTAACTGATTAATGAATTGCCTAGAAAAACATAATAGCCCCCAATTGGTTTTCTATCTATAGCACAGCCAGCCCAATCGGCATCTGAGAAGGCAATGATGGTAGGAGTGGTGGAATACTTTGAAAACCACAAACCAAGATTGATAGAATCCTTAAGATACCTTAGGATTATCTTAACTCCCTGAAAGTGTGAAATTTTGGGATTATGCATGTATTGGCAGACAAAATTGACTGCAAATTTGAGATCCGGTCTTGTCCATGTAAGGTATTAGAGAGCACAAACTAATGAATGATACTCAGAGACATTGTCAAACAATGGAAAGTCATGATCAAGTTTAGATGTGCTGAGTGGTGTATTGCAAGGTTTGGCACCAGTCATGTTGGCCTTGGATAGCAAATCCAAGATGTATTTGGTCTGAGATATGAATATGCCTGATGAGGATCTCTTAACTTCAAGGCCAAGAAAATAATGGAGAGGGGCAAGATCCTTGATTGGAAACATGGAGCTAAGCTGCTGAATTACTTTTTGACAAGCTGCAGAGTTGGGACTAGTGACCAAAATGTCATCTGACTGGAGAATACTTTTCTTGTCCTTCCATGTCTTTGAATTGCTCTTGAAGTAGCAAGATAGAGAGCCCCAGTGATTCCGTTGGGAGGTATCGAATGGGAGAGAGAAATTTTTAGGATAAAATCCTCTTTCTAAGCCTGGAAAATCCTAGAGGACATCTAGGATTAGATATTGCATCCCATTAGGAGTTATGATCACTTGCGGCACACACCAATTCCTATATTTTATAAACTCCCAGACTTTAAGGATATGATTGTGTCTATATCCGGTTCAGATTACGTGTCTTGCGAAATAAGCATGGTCATCCAGTGGAGTCGCTAGGACTCCGCCAATTGCCCCATAGTAGAGTGATGGTGGCATCACTACTCTATTTGATACAGCTTTGCCGTAAGCTGGTAAGTCCACGACGGGACTTCTGAGCTAACTGTATTCGGATCAGCTTTACTCCGACCCTAAAAAATCGTGGATCCAAAATGGGCTAGGCTGTTCTATTGTTTTTAAATTTTTTTAATTAAGTTAAAGGGCTTTTTGAGTAACCTACTAAAAAAGAACCTAGATTTTGTCTCCTCCAATTCCCTCCTATATTTGAATGCTCACGATTAAATCACATTAACATTTCGTGTTGCCTTCTCTTATTTGTATAGAAAAAAAAAACAGAGAGAAAGGGACAGGAGGGGAGGAGAACGGAAAAGAAGAGAATCCTACAATCCTACACCATCGAACAGTCAGCAAGCACATGGAGCAAAAAACACAAAGATTGATGAGAAACAACAAACATTTCCATTAAGACTGAAAGTGAAAGGAGTGTGATAAACAACTCTGATGTATACCCATTTACGTAAATGTCAGCGGCACCCATGTGACGACTTTACTCGTTGCTCCCACGTGTAAAATGCAACAAACAATATGTGACAAAGCACACCACCTACCTAAAAGCATAAACTTTCAACAAAATCCCCTTCCTGCCCCTGATTCGGTGATCACGTGATGCTGCTGCTGCAACCAAAACATCAGACAGCTACAAGACAATCATATGACCCCAACAAAACATAAAATAGCCATTCCATCCCCTTTCTACTTAGACCTATTGTTAGAGTAACTAAACTTATCTCAACTTACTCCAATCTTTTGATCAAATATGAGTTAAAACACAAAACTCTTTTTTGGGATAAATTTAGCCCAAGATTTCCCTAAGGTTAGTTGAGCTGGCCCATCATATATGTATATTTTTTATAGTTTTATATTTATAAATTAATAAAATCTAACGGTTAATATATAATTTAATCAAATCCAACAGTAAAAAAAAAAATCTAACTGTCCAAATTTAAATTCAACGGCTAAAGTAATTAAAGAAAATTATTTTATATGTTTCATATTCTTTCGTAGTGTTCCACAAGTTTCATAGTGTCAATTAAGTGATTTTTCAATATTAATTGAAATCTAAACATTTTAGGTTAAAATGTTCATAAAATTAAATTATGATAGTTTACATAATTTATTAAAAAACATTAAGAAAAAAATAATTATAAATTCATTTTTTAATAATTTCGTGCTAAATATTATATTTAAGCCAAAAGGTTGGACGAGAAAAACTGTTTCTAAGTTACAACGTAAATTTTCTAGGTTGAAAATTTTGAGTTTTAACCCAAGAATTGAAAATAATCTTATGTACAAACAGCCACTACTGATTCTTATTTTTCTGGAAAACTCAAAACCTAACCTTAGGAAACATAGTAAGATGAAAGATAAGTTGTTCTGTACATAACAACGTAAAATACAAGTTACAATCCTTGTTCTGCTCTAGACTACAGAAAACACAAAATAGCGAAAGAGATCGATCGATCAATCCCACTCTCGTTCGTATTTTCATCTGTCCTTACGTATGAAATATGTATTTTCTTTTCGGTTAGCAGTATGTATCGGGGGTGATGGCAAGCGAGACCTCGTTGAGATCTTCCTTCTCTATGGATCTACTCTTAGTCTTTGATGTAGGTATAATTCAGCAGCTATACATCTTCTAGCGGATTTACTCTTCCTTTTATATGCTTCTCTACTTTCCTGCACAAGGGAGGAGGAACATAATCATAAACGTAGATTGTTTGATTTCGCACCGCTACAGACCTTAGCAAAGTTATGTACACAGAACAAAATTAGTAGGGATGGTCCTTACCCTAGCAGAAGCACAGTCAATCAGCATTATCAATGAGAAGCAATGAAGCCAGCAGAATTGACTGATGATAATGTGTTGTTTTCGGTAGTAATGGCAGTATCATTAACTTCGGGCACAGCGGTTGACAACTCAGATAGATGATGATCTCCGGCAGATTTTGTACAAGCAAAGAGGCTATCAGGCAGGACCTGCTCTGCACTGCTCTCTCATCACAACCACAAGAACATAAAAAAGAAGATAAATATATTAAATGCAATATGCAGAAGAACCTGATATTTTACAATAGAAGAAACTTAAATCAATAAACAAATAAATTAGGTCACGTTGTTATAGCTGTAGTCAATATTTACTTGATACGAAAACAAAGCTCCTTACCTTTTATGAAGATTAGGTGCATCCAGGTTGGAGACTAGCTCCTTTTCTTTGCCATTCCCATTGCCATTGTTGTGAATGAAAGCTAAATTATCTTCCTTCTGGGACTGCTGCTCAGCAATTGCACCAGTCACAGAGATTAAGTCAGCTGGAATGTCACTGTGGCCTGCGATAACATGGAATTCAGTAGTCGGAACAACGATTATACATCACAAAACTTAAACATATATACAGTACAAATTAATGGTAAGTGATAATAAGAAAACCTCCTGCAACTTCTTGTTCCATGCTGTCAAATGGAAGGATATTTTGATTGATCTGAGCATGGGAATGAGGGCTCAACATAGGACCATGAGCACCAACAGATAGACTGCGGTGATGATGGGTTAAGCGTTCATTCTTCCAGTCCGGGAGCTGCAGACTCATAAGTCTTCGACCTTGGAGTTCAATTGCTTGCTGCAGTTCAGCCTGCTCTTCCAACTTTCTTCTCAATAACACCTCCTGTGTACTGTAGAACATTCTTCCCCCTAATAGAAAACAAGCATTCAGGTAAAATATAAAACGAAAAAAAAAAAATATCAACGAGAATAGAGATTCTCTCTTGCATATTCGGCAAAATGCTAAGACATTTGTCAACATTCAGTCATCCCTTCTTTCTTTTTACAATAGTGTTTATGGCACAAAGTATCCATTCTTGTTTTACTAACCAAGTGGGAGATCATATGCATCTCTAGAATCAAGACTACCAGGGCTCAAACATGATGAAAATTCTCCCCTCTCCAAATGCTGTTGTTGTTGTTGCCTCCTGCAGACAATCAACAATTGAGGCATCAATGCAAGTGAAATAACAATATGTCTTAGATTAAAACGTAACAGAGGAATAATGCACATACTTATCCAGGATTTTTCCCTTCTCCTTGTAGGGCTTGACAAGCACACGTGAATCACATATAAAATGAGGATTGCCTTTGGACAATATAAGCCTGACAGTTTCTGGGAAGACAAATGTTACGAACCCAAACATTCGCTTCTGCTGATATGGGATCCGGACATCTTGAACTGGCCCGAACTTGCTGCTAAAGTAGAACAACGAACAAGTCCATAAGAATTCCAGAACAGTAAGCGTTTGAACAATATAATAACAATCATATGAAAATCTCTTATCTTGTAATAATACATAGAAATCCTTTCTCTTTGTTAAAGTAGAACCAAACATGAGGGCCAACGCACATTTGGCCAGCCACTCAAGATCCCAGAAGACCTCTGAATTTGTTTTACATTGTGATATTGACACTTGACATCCTGTAGAACAGCTCCAATAACCATGCATTGGGACCTCCAAGGTCATTCAATTTTCATGATTGAATTCATGCTTAATTTTTATCACTTCCATATTCTCTCTCTCTCTCTCTCTCTCTCTCTCTCTCCCCATGTCAAGAACCTTTTTTCTTATTTTCCAGAAAAAAAAATTCTTTCACTAAGTCGTACCATGACATACCAAGCAATAACCGGTTAGAAGAGTTATTTGACAGATTCACAAACAACAATTCATCATTGCCATTGCAAAATCACAAAGTGGGAGTCATACAAAGACAAAAGTATGGTTGATCAGATAAATCGTTTTGTCAAATGCTGTATGACACGAGACTCATGTTCACAGCAGAGCACTAACTGAACATCTTCAGTTTATTTGACTTCATCCTGTAAAAGAAGAATCCCTCAGTAATAATTCGAGGCAGTGCATATGCTGCATTAGCACAATATAGGTCAATTGTAACATTTGAAGCCAACATTGCAAGCCCTAATGCAAGTGTTGGGTACGGTTCAAAAGTAAAATCCCTACTGATTTAGACTGTTGACAATGTATTCAAGTCAAACAATGCCAAAAAGCCCAAATTGCCTTCTCATACTAACTTAAGAAAACATATAGATTGTCATGCCACAAGATGAAATGCATACACCAGAATGCCATTATAGTTGACCGAAGTGCTAAGGAATGATCAATTCGAAAGAAACCAATTCCTATTTTGCCAATACTCAGGCATAACAACAGCTTCGAAGACTTGGCCCAACTAACAAATAATAAGGAAGTAATAGGATGTATAATTCTACCTGAAGTATTCTGAAACATCTTCATCTCTAAAAGTGCTCTCAGCTGGGAATGTCAAGTAGATCTGTCTTGAAGCTGAGTTCGCCTTTTCAACAGAAGCCATTGCCAGAAGTTCGTTTCTATCAGGTCGACACCGCCCAAACTTGAAAGGTTCTTCCCCCATCATCATGGCCGCAAATCTACAATGCAACAGATTCCACCGAGGAAACAAAAATGTTGAACCAAAAAAAGAGACAGAACCAGTAACCAAACCAAACCAAGAATGCACTTGTAGTCAACAACACTTCCACACAAAAGACATCAATCCATACAGAGCGAAATGAAAAATTTCAACATACTCTAAATAAATAACAAAGCAACAGAAAATAGCAAAATCGGCGACTTCCAATTTACCTCTGAGGGTCATTCTGCTGTTGCAATAGGAAATTCATGTACTTGTTGTACGAAGAAGGCGACCCTCCAACCATGAACTGAGAGGCAGCAGCCAATCTCTGTTGCTCAACTTTCAACCGCAACATCTCCTCCTGCTGTTCGAAACCAGTAAGATTACTGGGAGACCCCACAATAGCACCAGGAGCGTCCAGGGAATCAGCAAAACCGCCATGCACAAACTTGCAATTGCTTCCATTCTTGCAAAACCCTCTAGCAAAGTAAAGACAAGGCTTGAAGCCAACTCCCAAAGCAGGGTCCTCGGACCCCAGACAAGCATCGCTGGCCGAATAGCTCCTTTTGTGGAAATGGGTGTCACCATTGTTAACCGAATGAACCCAATCAGGAACCCCGGGACCCAATTCGAGCCTGGGATTAATGAAATCGCCCGGCCTCGAAGAGAAAGAGGACTCGTTGAGAAAGGAGAGGTACTCGCTGAGTTGATGCTCGTCGATGAGGTCACTTCCTGGCCACCCATCACCACCGCCCCCACCACCACCATCCTTACTGAACTGGTGCGAATGTACTGCAACGGAGAAGGACCCGGCCCGGATATTGTCATGAGAGAGTAAAGGGCTTGCCCTTGGGTTAATGGAGTTGTTTGGGAGGCCAGAAAGCGGCCAGGAATTCGAAGAGGGAGAAGAAGAGTTGTTCCCAAAGTCAAAGCCGTTTGGGGTTCTAGGAGAGGACTGAGAAAATGGGTTGGCGTTGGTTGGTCTGGCTATGGGATTTAGGGGTGAAGGAGAGGAAGGAGTGGAAGATGCGGACGAAGTGTTTGACGAAAGTCCCAACTGGATTTTAGCCCTCAGAATCAGCGAGTGCAAAAGGCTCTCGGGACCATACGCCAAACGAATCAAATCCTTCTCGGCAAGATCTTGAATGAGAAGATAACCCATGATTTTGATGGCATTTTCTGGGTCTAAGGTTTTGATCTTCGAAAAGAGTACATTTGTAAGTTCATATGAACCCATCAAGTTTTCTCTATCAGACCGGAGAAGGGGTGAGAAAATTGGTTTTTCAGTAAGGGTTTGAAGTGTATTTCAGTACACTGTGAAAAGCCTCTCTCTCCTACCTGTCTCTCTGTCTGTCTTTCTCTCTCATCCCTCTGGAATCTATCCTTTGAGGGAAGACCGGAAGGAGTGGTAGATTTCAGATCTACTTACTTCAAAGTTAATTGTCAAATACAACGCAACCACGCTGTGAATTATCAGTATTTCTCTTTATTTGTAAATAAGATATTAAAATATAATTTTTAAAATTATAATTAATTTTTAATTTTTGTTAAAAAAAATTTAAATTATATTATTATTAACATTCGCTTCTTAAAACAGATGTCATTTGCTATAAAAAGTCATACACAGACACTTCATCATAACCCTACTTCCAACGTTGTCCCACGCATCCAGGGTTTTTTTATATCTGTTTTAAGGATTAAAATTATTTTGAAAAAAGTCCTCAACTTTTTATCCAAAAATTCAAAATTTGAATATAAAAAGCAATTACGGTGCGAAACCCTGCAGAGTGCTAATTTCTAGGCTAATTTAAATAGGAATTAAATATTCTTAATTTATATTTTTCGTCTGGTGGGGTAATCGTGGATTATGAATCATATTATTATTCGTTAAAAAAAATCATATGATTATCTAGCTGGTGGGGTAATCGTGGATTATGAATCATATTATTATTCGTTAAAAAAAATCATATGATTATCTAGCTCACTTTAACTGTTTCTTGAATTTTCTTTTATCTTTATTGACAATTTCTTTACAAATTATTGCATTTATTCCTTTTTTCCGATGAAGAAAAAGAAACATTTTTACATTCGTTAATATTATCTTGAGTTTCAACGTTGTGTAGATTTACAGACAAAAATTATCCCAATATCAAAGTAAGGTACTTTTTACACCCGAATCCGTACGAGTCGTTACTCGTATAAATCAAAATAGCTTAAAATATTCTGAGAGAATGTTAAAGTTTCTTTGTATAAAAACTCGTTTGAATTTGCTTTTAAAATGATTGAAAGCGTTTTTAGTGAAAATATTTTTAGAACCAATTTTTAGTAAATATACAAGTAAATCCTGAAAAAACACTTAAAGTGCTTCCTGGAAAAAACACATAACTGGTGTTTTTTGCAGAAAACACGTAAAGTGCTTTTGGAACTCAAAAACATTTTTCTAAAAGCGCTTTCAGTCATTTTAAAAGCACATTCAAACAACAAGTTACAATTTTGCTGCACTTCTGAACCCTGACTTATTGTTTGTCATATGTAATGCCACCTATAAAATCATTATAGCAATTTTTTTTAACATACGATATTATCTACAGTAAGGTCAACTCCAACCGAACCGCCTAAAGGGTCATAGGCCAAAAAATAGCCCGTTTTGACATGAAAACCATCTCCAACCGAGGGCTAGGCCAAAGGGCTCGTGGGCCCTACCCGACCAAATATTGGAGAACCAGCCAAAGGGCTGGCCAAAAGCAGCCAACTAACCAACCCTATAGCCCCAGCCCAAATACATACCACCTAACATTATACTGACGTCAAGTTATTGTTGGATTTAACTTTTTTTTAGACGAAATTTTTTTTAAAAAAAATTCTAATTTTTTTCCTATAAATACCTAGGTCATTTCTACCCCATTTCTCACATCCTTTTCGTCATTCCATACTATCTTACCTCATTTTATTTCAAGTATTCACCAATTTTTCACATCCTTTTCATTATATAAAGATAAGAAATCCAGAGGCTTATTAATTTAGCGACAAGTGGCACTCAAAATATGCCTGAAAACCTTATTTTAATATGGTAGTTTAATTCAATTAACCATATGAATTCAATTAAAATAATAAATTATTGAGGGGGCTAAAAAATAGCCCCCTTCAGTTGGAGATCGGTTTTTTGTCAAAAGGCTATGTTTTGGCCTATGACCTTTTAATCCCCTTGGTTGGAGATGATATAAAATATGGCCTAACACTATTAATTAAAAAATAATTTCTTGCAGGACTATAGGGCTAAACTTGGCTCTTTGCCCTCCTTCGGTTGGAGATGGCCTAATGGGGAGGGGGTCAACTTAGCCTCAGAAAATGCTAGCAATAATGTGGTTCAAATTCACTCTTAATGAGAATCGAACCTAAAACCTCTCACTTACAAGTGAATGGGAATACTACTAGACCATATAGAGATTTTACTTTAACTCCATCTAGAGATTTTATTGTATATTGGCCTAAATCAACCCTTTATATATTGGAAAAATTTACATTGATGCAGTCCTGAAATTAGTTAGGAGTGATTCTATAAATACTTATGGGATTCAATAGTATCTTTTAGATAGTTTCTAGTTGTAATCTATTACTTGAAAGGTAAGGATTCTTCTTTTCTTGTGACTATAAATAAATGCACAATGGATAGGAAATCATTAATACAGAATCACCAAATTCTCTATCTCTCTCTATTTGCCACTGATCCTTCTCCCTCTCTTTGCCCTCAGTAAAATAGGCCTACAACACGTACACGTTCTTGCTACTGCTTTAAGGAAATAAAGGTTCTTGGAGGAGGTTCTTCTACAACTAGCATTCAAATACTTTCTTCGTCATCCAATTAAAAGTTCTTCTAAATCACATAATCGATATTTTATAAGCCTTAATAACATGAAAACATTCACCATGTTGCATGAACCCCCAATTTATCTATATTTTATATATTGCTTTATATATATAAGAAAATTGTAGCAATGGTCCCTCAACTTTAACCCAATTGGAGCGATGGTCCCTTAATCAAAAATTCATGACTATTGGTCCCTTAACTCATCAAAACCTGCAGCTATGGTCCTTTCGTCAACTCTATCAAAATTCCATCAAAATGACTATATTTGAAGGATCATTGCTACAATTGGGTTAAAGTTAAGGGACCCTTACTACAATTGGGTTAAAGTTCATGGACTATTTCTCCAATTGGGTTAAAGTTGAGGGACCATTTCTCCAATTGGGTTAAAGTTGAGGAACTATTGCTACAATTCTTTTCATTTAGCTTGCCATATTTACCCCTCGATTAAGCCTCATATGCGTGACACGTGACTTATTTTGACAGAAATTCTAACGAAGTTGACTTATTTTGATTTTGGATATGCAATATTATGATGTTGATTTTGCATATACAATATTATGTAGACCTGAAAATTTCTTACATAACATGTTAACACGACCCGAAATAACACGAAGATAATGGAGTTTGGGTCAACATGTTAACTAATCAGATTGTTATCAGGTCACACGTTAACAGGTTCTTAATAGTTTTGCCTGTGAATAACCCGTTTCAACCTAATAAGAAAAAAGTTAGTTTGATAATTTTAAACTACTAAAAAACCTTAATAAAATAGCCATCCATAAAAAATTCCAAAGTACATTAAAAATACCAAAGCAATTTAAAATTACTATAGCCCATTAAAAAAATCATAATAATTAAATTCTGGTGTGAAAAATATGTCAATGCTCATAATAAAAAATATATAATAATTAATGAAAATGTGTGAAAATGTGAAAAAAAATATATAAACGCTTGCGATTGCATTCTCTACACTTAAAAGATGTTTACATAGTCATTAAGATTTTTAAAACCCTCCAAACCCTCATGAATAGTGTTTTATTATTTGAGTGCAAATTAATAATTCATAAAGATCGGCATAGAAGTGTGAAAAATGAGAAAAGAATATACAAACACTTGTAATAACAAGCTTTACAACTTTTTTAAAGGAGTCATCTCTGAAATTTGGCACAAAACCCATAAATCCTAGATTTATATTTAACCGCTAGTGGTCGTTTACGCTCTATTCTTCTCATTGGATTTCATTTTTTAGATTTTCGTTTTGAAAACATAATCTTTTAGTAGATGCAAAAAAAAAACGGTTCGGATCGTTGATATCACATTTCGATGTTTACGATTAACTAAAATATGAGTCGATTATACATATATTCGAGGGACTTTAGAAACTCCAAGAAATATTTTCACTAACCGTAAAAATCTGAATGTGATATCAATGATCTGAACCGTTCATCTTTCTACTTCTGCTAAAATGTCATGTTTTTGAAAAAGAAAATCTAAAAAATGAAATTTAGTTAGAAGAATGGAGCAGAAACGTAAATGACAATCAATGGTTAAATTTAAATCTATGGTTTTATAGGATTATGATGGCGAATTTCAAAGTTGACATTTTCACAAAAATTGTAGAGCTTGTCATGAGTGTTTAAATATATATTTCTTCACACTTCTAGATTAATTAAAAAACCTTACTACAACAATAACCATAGGATTTAATCTCACTTATGTGAAATAAAATCCTTGCCGTTGGATTCTTTGATCTCACTTACGTTTTTAGTATTACGTTTTTCTTTTGATTATTTATTGGTTTAAAATATATTTTTCTTTGACGGGTAACGGGTCGAGTTCAAAGCGAGTCATGTTACCCGTTCATTTTAACAAGTGTTACACGACACGACCCATTAAGATATCAGGTACGTCATAAAAATGACATGAACACGGAACACACGATACGAATGCCAAGTCTAATATTATGTTTTATTATGCTATTAGATATTGCTAATGTGAGAGCATGATTTTCCAAAGCCGGAGTAAGGCGGACCGGAATTTGAATACTCATAAGTTTGGTCATGGACTCAATAGCCTCCGAAGCAAAGCTGAATAAATGGAGCATCAATGCCAAATCATTTTATTTTGGAATCAATGGGCGAAGTCTGACGACTTGCCAGAGATTGACCATGCTTATCCTGCAATATTTGCTTAATCCAACAAGGAATCATCAGGTTTTCTATAATCTTGGAGTCCTTACAATCTAAGGATTGGCATATGCCACAAGTAATCACACTTTTAAGAGGATGCAATATCTACATTCTAAATATCATCTAAGATTCTCTCAGTTTAATACAAATTCACTATCCTAAAATGTCTCATCCTTGAAGAGTATAAATATATCATTCTAGGGTTAATCTCTGGTAATGCAATTATTACCTACTTATGCTCTTACCCACTGCTTGAGTCTTGTATTGCTTACTAACTTGATCGTTGGAGAGGCTTTAATCAGCACACACCCCTGTTGTTTGGCTAATTCAAG